TATCTTTCATTATTACCATAACCAAACCTATTGTTTTTCGAGAAAATGACAAAAATAACCATTTACACTAATTACATTACAAAAATAGCCAAAAAAAACTGAAGTTGCAAAAATAACCATGAATTTCGCAGATGGAATAGTCCCATCTGTGAAATGGCATTCCATCTGTGAATGTACAAGCAGCTAAAGCACAATTATGTACAAGCAGCTAAAGCACAATTGTGCTTTAGCTGCTTGTACATTCGCAGGTGGTTTATTTTTTTTCATTTTTTTCTCTATATATATTGAAATTGTAGGGTAAATTCGCAGATGGAATAGGCCCATCTGCGATTTACTCTGATTCCATTTGTGGTAGATAAAAGTAAAAAGAAAAAAATTCAAGTCAAAAAAATGAAAAAAAAACATGTTTACGGGCATTATGTTGATGTTGGTGATGTACATTTAGATATAACCGAGCTACAAACCAATTGATTTCATAGTCAAACTAAAAACAAAAAAAAAAGTTAAAAATAAAACCGCAATTTCACAGATGGAATCAGAGTAAATCGCAGATGGGGTTATTCCATCTGCGAATTTACCCTACAATTTCAATATATAGAGAGAAAAAAAAATTAAAAAAAAATAAATAAACCAGCTGCGAATATACAAGCAGCTAAAGCACAGTTGTGCTTTAGCTGCTTGTACATTCACAGATGGAAAGCCCATTTCACATATGGGACTATTCCATCTGCGAAATTCATGGTTATTTTTGCAACTTTGGTTTTTTTTTTGGCTATTTTTGTAATGTAATTAGTGTAAATGGCTACTTTTGTCATTTTCTCTTGTTTTTCTCTTAGTCTGTTAGATCTCATAATTCTTTATTACTTTTAATTCCCATAAAAATGCATGTTTTGTTTGGTCACTCAGGTATTGAGTCGACTAGAGCAATTGAATAAGCAAGCTCGTAAACTGAATAAGCAATGTCTGCAATTATTGATCAGTGGGACAACAAAGTGGGTGATAGTAACTGTGGATCAATAGTAAGTTCATCCATGTCCACATTCAGATTTTGGTATTATCATCTATAAATCTAACTGATTATACAACTTATAATTTACATATGTCGAGAGGTGCAACAAGAATTCAACACGACACAGTTAAAGTGTTTTCATTATATTGTTGTTTTGACAATTTTACCCTTCTTGGTTATTTTCTCACAGAGTCAATACATGAGTTAAAGTGTCAGTTTTCTACCCTACATTCTTCCTGCTTATGTATCTTTTTTTCTATTTTCTTTCTATCTGCTTCATGGACTGATTTTTATGCTTATAATGTGTTTTTGGATTGTCATGTAGGTAGCATCTGAGCTTATAAAGGCTAACTAGTATAGGTTTTATCTATGACTTTATGCCTATTTCATTTCTTCTATCTTATGCCTCAAGACAAACCTAAGGTATTGACCAAAATACCCCTTTTTTATGACTTAATGTCTATTTTTATGAAGTTATGTTTTATGGTTATGACTTAATGTCTATTTAAGTTATTACATATCATATACATCATGACCAAACCAACATATAGTCCAAAGTACCCTGTATGTAAACTTTTTTTTTTTTTTTTTTTTCTGTTTTACCAATAAATGCTATGTTTTTTTGTAATAGTGTTAGCACATGAATTAAAGTGTTTTTAATGAAATTATATTAGAATTTTCATTTGCATGACTATCAAAAAGAGGATTCGTTTGTAATAGTGTAGCTATAGTTGAAATTATCTTAGGATAGCTATAGTTGTGTTTCCTCTTTTGATAGTCATGCAAATGCAAATCCTAGGGCATATTGTAGCTATAGTTGTTTTTTTGTAATAGTGTTAGCACATGAATTAAAGTGTTTTTAATGGAACTTATGAGCGGAGTTTGCAAACCCCATTTGCACATGTTCGTGATCGCTTTTATTGACTACATTTTTAATATATTCTCGAACCAAGGAAGAACATGGCCAACACTTGCGATTGATTCTGGAACTACTAAGGAAGGAGAAACATCATGTAGAATTCTCAACAAAGTGCAATTCCTCGGTCATGCGGTCAACAACAAAGGGATTAATGTTGACCCTACAAATATTGAAGAAAATACGGATTGGAAAGAACCAATGACACCAATCGAACGCTAATCATTAAGGATTATGGGCTATTACCAGAGATTCATTGAGAATTTCTATAAAATAGCCAAGCCTCCAACTGATCTACCCAGAACGACTAGAAATCTGATTGGGGAGACAGTCAAGAGTCTGCCTTCCAGAGACTGAAATAATCATCGCACGGTGCACCTATCCCGCCTTTCCTCAGAGGGAACGGAAGACTTGGCAGTATTCTACGATGCCTCTTGACAAGGATTAAGATGCATGATGATGTACAGGAATGAAGCCATTATACACACATCTAGACAACTTAAGCCAAACGAGACAAACTACCTTACCCATAACCTGGAATTAGGAGTGGTAGTGTTTTCCTAAAAGATTTGGAGGCACTACTTATACGGAACGAAGGGTGTCGTGTTCGCCAATCACAAAGGGCTCCAACGTATCTTCGATCAGAAAGAGCACAACATGAGACAACGAAGGTAGGTAGAATTGGTAAATGATTACGAATGTGAAATTCCTCGTCATCTTGGTAAATCAAATGTTGTAGTAGATGCTTCGAACAAGAAAGAACGAGTAAAACCACTTTGTGTAAAGGCTCTAACCCTAACGATCCACTCTAATCTCACTACCCAAATTCAAGACGCCTAGTTGGGAGGCTTCAACCCGGAAAATATCATGGGATAAAACCTGCAAGGTATATACAAGCAGATCAACGTCAAGGAAGACGGAACACAATAAACCAGGAACCGAATTTTGACCCCAAGGTTTAGTGAAGTCGGGAACTTAGTGTTAAACAAAGCTTATAAGCTGAGATATATTGATACATCTCAGGATCCGATATGATGTATGTTAATCTTAATAAGTTTAATTGGTAGCCTAACATAAAGGCGGAGATTGCCACGTACATCGATCAATGGTTGACTTGCGTTAAGTCAACATAGAGTATCAAAAGCCAACATGATTACTACAACAACCATCGATTCCGGAATAGAAATGGGAGCAGATAACCAAGGACTTCATAACAAATTTGCCAAAGACTTTGATGCGATTAGGACACCACTTGGGTAGTGGTCGACCATCTAACAAAGTATGCTTATTTTCCAGTCATTGAAGAAATTGACAAGATGGAGAAACTCGCTAGGGTCTACATCAAGTAAGTAGTCAGACTGCACGAAGTACCAACATCTATTATCTTAGGACCGAGATAGCATATTTGATGTTAGATTTTGGCAAACATTGCAAAGATCTCTTGGAACCAAAGCAGACGTGAGTACTGTGTATCATCCTCAAATAGTTGGACAAAGTGTAAGGATGATACAAGCTATGGAAGTCATGCTCCATGCTTGTGTGAATTACCGCGGTAATACGTAGCATATTTATTTATCGCTAGTCGAGTTTTCGTACAACAATAGATATCATACTAGCATACATGCTCCCTCATTCAAGGCCTTGTATGGACGCAAATGTCCTTCTTTGTTATGCTAGGCAAAAGTTGGAGATATCCAACTAGCTAGAAAGCATATTGGAGATACTTTACGTATTGGCCCCGAGATCATTGAGGAACCATGGAGAAGATCGTTCAGATCAAAGGAAGGTTAAAGGAGGCACACCTACAGTAAAGTTCCGATGGAACTCTCGTAGAGGGCCAGAGTATACTTGGGAACACGAAGATCAAAGGAAGCAGAAGTACCCGCAACTAAACAAAGATTCTCCCTCTACTAGTAGAACAAAATAATATTAGAAACAATATAATTTCGGGACAAAATTTCCTTTAACGAGGAGGTAATGTGACATCCCAGAATTTAGGTTTGAATCTATAGACAGTCAAGTTGTTGCGAACCTTTTGTACCTCGACCGATTGAATATTAATGCATATTTTAGTAGAAATATAGTGTCATCTCAATTACAAATAAATATGAAATGGTATCTTATCTCGAACTATGGAAAATGTTGAACGAAACTCAAAGCACAAACTGTAACTCTAGTTAACGACTGAAAAACAAAAATTTTGTATTAAGCGTCTTTGAACAAAGAAAATATTTTAGACTCGTAGTACATGTTTCCCTGATCGCAGATATATAAAGAGTGTCCAAAACGGAGTTCGTATACAAAAGATATGACCGTTTTAAGAAACCAAACCGGTATAACCCTGACCTTATCTGATTTCATAAACTGTATCGATTCGTTAATCCACTTGCATACCTCAGACATAAATTGTAAGAGTCTTTTTTTTGGACTCAGGCTGTAGTCTAATATTTTATGTAATACTCGATATTTTTTAGTAAAAATATTTATAAAATTCAGAAAAAAAAAATCGAACGTTTCAGATCAATTAGACGCGGAACTTCAAACACGATTCTTCCGGAGTTCTACAACTCGGAAAAAATATTCTGTTCAGGTTTTTAAAACACGTGAATTAAAATTTATCATTCGACACAATTAGAAAAATTACGCGACATCAAAAATCGAAACCAAAATAATTTATGTGACATTTTAAATGTCAAAAGAAATATTACACTTTTTGGTCAAAGAAAAAAAAAAGAAAAATAAATAATAATATATGTATATACATGAGATACGAGTCACATGATCTCTCTCTTACTCTTACGTGTCTCTACCTCTCATGTCCCTATACTTCTTTGACTTGTGAAAGTCAAATGAGTTTATTAAGAAACATGCTAAATTACTTTCCTTCTGGATCAGATGGTAATATATGAAAATATGAAGCTTTTGTTTTCTTCTTCTTAAACCTATTCCAAACTTCATCACCCAACATCATAAGAACGGCTGTGTACAAGTCATTTGAACGCCAAAGTAAACACTCCAAGGTTTTGTTATTTATCTGTTCATGAGTGAACAAGACCACCTCCTTGGGTTTCCTTTTCATTTTCTGGCAACCCAAACCACCACAGTCGGCCACCACTCTGTACTTCCACCATTGTTAGAACAAACATCACCAACCTCCATCCTTCCCCTTGGACTGTGACTAGCAGCCACCAAAGACCACCCACAGCCACCACCGAGCTGGTGCCAAGCTGCATCTCCGCTCCTTCCCTCTTTTCTGTTGACCGAAGCAGGAAAACCCAGCAGTGGGGCAGTGGGGCTGCTACCCATTGCCGTCGAAAAACACCACCACCGAGGGTGGCTAAGGACCACAGACAGTGAGGCCACCGGAAAACCACCAGGGACTACCGGAACATCACTGCGGCCACACCCAACTACTCTCCAGCCATCGCCAATCAACCCACCACCCACAACCCTTTCATTCTCCTTCTCTCTCGTCAAACCCGTCAGAGCAGGAAAGCAAAAGCAGCAGTGCTGCCATCGCCGTCCTCCGGCGCCGCTGCTGTGGAATCCCTTCAGCCACCACAAACCTCTTGACACCATTACCATTTTCTGCCGCCATTGGTAAGCCACTGCCATTCTCTCTCTCTCTCTCTCTCTCTCTCTCTCTCTCTCTCTCTCTCTCTCTCTCTCTCTCTCTCTTTATATTCTTTCTTCGAGTCCCATTGTTGATTACACTAGACGTCAAGAGACCCAGCAAATGAGTCTCGTATTTGTTCCATGCTCGAACTGTAAACGCGATGGAAGGAAACAAAATGGTCTCGTGTTCTTTGTTTCTTTCTTCCCGCTCACGATTTGAAGATTGAACCAGGGAGACAATCACAATTCAAACATTGACTAATTTTATTTAAAATAAACCCTCAAGTTGTTGATTTGTACGACAATGGCCCCTCCACCCGAAAACACCCGGCAAACCAAGTCTTGAAACCTTAAATTAGGTTAAAATGTGCATATTAGACCCCTGGTTTGAGACTTGTCTGCAAGATCAGTCCATCAAGTTTGATTTTGGCAAAATCAGCCCTTGGAATTTATTTATTTTAATCAAGGCCAGCCTATACTTAATAATTAATACCAAACCTACCCTTTTGGTTTATTAGGTGAAATTAAATAGAACTTGTGATTCGTTTTAAGAGCACGGAACGTCACAAAACGAATTTCACGACAAGTTTCACCCTCAAGACTCGTTCACACTTCAAGGGTGAGTGTTACAGCCCCTTTTTATGTTTTAATATTTTGGGGGGGAATACATGTGAAATATATATAAATATATTTTTCGGTTATGAAATGTGTTCATAATCATGATGAATATATATATCGGCTATGGAATACGCATATAAAACATATATCTAGTTTTAATATTTAATATTGTCAAAATAATATATTATAAACCGATTTCTTTACGATGTACATGCGTTTAAAAATATTATTAGTCATGTGCATAATTTATTTCACTTACATCGAGCATGTACAAACATATTTGTCAATTATATATGTACAATTTATAACAATTATATCTTGGAAATAATTCATGCATGTGATGAAGCATTTTATCTATTTAAGCGAGTAACATACATTTTTACGGATTTATCGATCTTATTCAGCTTTTATAGTGAAACTTTACCGTATAACCTAGTTAATGGCCTCTATAGTGAGACAGTATTCATTACCTAAGTTTAAACACTTAGTATTCCCATTTAACTATAACCGTTAATCCTCGGAGCGAGATACGTATGTATAGATCTATACGGGTTGACACCCCCACCTGCGGTTGCTAGCTACAACCTCGACTGATCAATCGAAGCAGGTGCATATTTATCTTTAGTATAACTACGACGTCTGATGAAGCGTCGTGCAGGGATTATAACTGGTCACATAGCTCGGTTATAGGACTCACTATAGGCATTAACTAGACTTTTTAACTAGAAACCACGGATTCGGTTTCTCTGTGTATTAAGCATTTTAAGTATGGATCTACTTATGGTATAACTCTTTATCAAGCATTTTATGTATGGACTTACTTATGGTATAACTCTTTATCAAGCATTTTACGTGTGGATTTACTTATGGTTTAACTCTTTATCAAGCATTTTAAGTATGAGTTTACTTATGGTTTAACTCTTTGTCAAGCATTTTAAGTATGAGTTTACTTATGGTTTAACTCTTTATCAAGCATTTTAAGTATGAATTTACTTATGGTTTAACTCTTTACCAAGCATTTCAAGTATGGATTTATCTATGGTTTATCTATTTATCAAGCATGTAAAGTATGGATATACTTATGATTTATCTCTTTAACAAATATTTCAAGTATAGATATATTTGTGATTTAACTCTTTATCAAACATGGTTTTAACCACAAAAGAAATACTTTCTAGACTTATAAAGTATCATTACTGCGGTTAGCAGAAAACCTGTAACTCTCACCAACCTTTGTGTTGACCCTCAAATCACATGTATTCTCAGGAGATCAGTAAACCGGCGTCTAACAGAAGATTTTTTCATGGATTCTCGGGCAATCTAGTCTTATTTAGTTTTTGTTATGTCGACCTACTTGTTAAGGTGAATTTATGAACCTATTAATATATGTATGAAACTTGTATTTGAACTTTAAATTTGAATACAACTGCTATGTTGTTATTGTTGTAACTTGTGATGTATATTCAATTTGCTTGGGATCCATGAACTAAGTCGCACAGCCCGGCGTATTCCGTCGCCTCGGCCGGGGGTGTGACACATATAGTCCTATTGGAATTGGAAGTATCCCAAGGCACATTAACATACATATTCATGCTGGTAAGCTAACTCAATTTGCCTTCACATAAGCTATATATATATATATATATATATATATATATATATATATATATATATATATATATATATATATATATATATATATATATATACACTAGTCGTTTACCCGCACAAAGCGGCGGACGGCGAATAATTTATTTCAATAATTATTTCAATTCGTAAATATGTTATATTTCAAGGAACATAATTTACTTTTCGACAAATCATATCTTTTCGGTGTTTATTTGTGATTCAGATGTCACTTTTTAGTTAATAAAAAATAGAAGTATGAAAATGTTTTTTTTGTTAAAAAAAAGTGTTGTTCCAAATTAAAAATAATGTTTTTTTTGTGCATTTTATATAAATATACAATATTGATAAAAATGCAATTAAATCTTCATTTTTTCATTATAATTATGATTTATGTTGCCTTTTTTTGTCGCAATACAGGTCAAATGACCAATTGATACCTAGGCAGAGATCTTTAATTGTATTAGAATTTTTTTTAAACAAATTAAATATTGCTTATCTTCAAACAAAATTAATAAATGATGATTTTTTATTGTTACATACTTATTTTGGATATAAGTAGTTTATTAAAATTTGTTTGAATATTTATATATCCTAAAAAAGTTAATATTTGAAGTTTTAAAATTTTAATATAATATTTGAAATTTAGAAAATTTAAAACTTTTGATGTTATATTTGAAATTTTGTATAAAAAATAAATTCAAAATCTACACTCAAAGTAATTGAATTAACTAATAACATTGAAAAAATCAATGTAAAGTTCACTGATATTTTCTCAACACTCCAACATAAATGTCATAATATGTTGATAAACTTAAACTAATATGTTAAATTTAAAAGAAAAAAAAAAGAAAAAAAAATTAACATCAACATAATCAAATTAGACAAAATCTCTAAAATTGATACTTTCTTAACACTCACATGGACTTCAAAAAAGTCACCAAACTAATTAAAAAGTTACAATCAAAGACTATAACATGTAACAAACAAAAATGATTTTCATGTTCGAGAAATAAACCATAAATACAACAATTGCTTATCCCTTCATAAATTTTACAAACGCATATGAGATTCAATTTCTAGATACATATATGCCTTTTAGACTAAGCCAAACTAAGAAATACTTAAAATCACATTAAATAATATCATTTATTGAAGAGTTTTTCCCTAAATAACACGGACTCCAGTGACTGTCGTCTTATCCCAATTAGAGAAAGAGTGCAGGGGCAGCAGATGATACCTGGAGACCTACATAAGATTATACACATACACATAAACCAGCATCAGATTATATGCATACACACATTCGAGTTGAATATCATGAATTTGTAACTTAAAAATGAAACATGTATGAATCTCAACCCCATTAATGTGACATTTTCTTGTTCGTTCTACTAATAATGTTGGTTGTAAACACATATGGAAAAAAAAACATGAAGAGAATGAGTATTTGATCATCACATAACTTTAATATTTGATCATTTTAAAACAAAACTTAAAAATACCATAACAAAAGGAGTCGTGAAACAAAAGAGCTCCTTGTAGTCTTGGTTGTAAAATAAACTGTCAACATAATAGTCAAATACAATAAAATGGCATGAAAGATGAAAAATGCAAAAATTGAAAGAAATACAACAAATTGAGCATAGTTTTATAGCAGGGACATTTGTTATCATCCGTTTCTCTGTTTAGAAAGATGAAGAGAATGAGTATTTGATAAGAAATATGGAAAATATAATATGAAGTACAAATTCATGACTTTTTAGCTAGCTTCGATCTCTAGTTTTTTAAGTTGTGTTAGTTTATATCATTCATGCAAATAAAACATGAAAAATCATAAAACTGATGTAGAGATAGTCAACATGACACACAAATTCCATATCATCATGAGTTCATCCATCAATTCTGCGATCACATTAAACTGTTCAAACTTACAAATTTAAGACATACAAGCACCAAACATTATCCAAGATCTTTATGAAAAAACTCATGATGTTTTTAAATAATAACAAAAGTCCCATAGTCAAACGATAAGGCCCATAGTAAAAGATAATAAGAGATAAAATCTTGTACATTTTTAGAAGTTGAAGCAAAATAAATACTTTTAATAAAATTAAATAAATATAAAATCAAAGAGCTTACTGGTTTAAAAAAATCAAAGAGCTTACAAAATGCTTTAAAACTGGGTGATTATCCTGAAAAGACTTTGCTTGTCTCGGTTTGGAGTAACATCCGCGATCATCCACGGTATCCATAACATAGGTTTTCAATCCTGTGTTGGCAAGAAAAATAATCGATGTGTTAGTTTACACTGATTGATTTCAGCTGTAAACACAACAAAAAAGATCAAGAAATAAAAGAGAATTGATAAAAAAAATATAAAATATTACAAGTATGGTTTGGAGATGAAAATGAGAGATCGATATTGATAACCGATAGAGAGTGGTGTTTGGTGGTGGATTAAACACACACACCTAAGGTTTTGCTGTTTAAGTCTTGCATATCCTACTCACAATTGCATAAACATACCTGAAATTAAAAGAGAGTGGTCTAGTCATTGGTGGTAGATAAAACAAACACACTTCATAAACTACCTTCACCTTATACCACCTGCCATCATACACACCACCATCACAGCCGGCCTTAATCTTCTCCACCACTGAAATCCACATCCCATTATAGCCTCCTTAAACCACCGAGACAACCACCGCGAACCTCCCTTTGGC